GAAAGACTTGCAAAACAATAATTATAGTATTCTGTGCCATGGATGCTAATAAAGGAAATGTGAAGTGAGAACACAGAGGAGGGACTCCCAGCATGTCTTGGAAGAACCAGAAAGACACTGAGATTAAATGTCTCTTTTAATTGTCCCCTTTCCTCAGAAAATGTCTGGGGAAATGTGTTGACCTTTCTTTCTTAAATTAGGTAATTTTAAGACTGAAATCTTGCCATTTGCAACAACATGAATGAAGGTAGAGACTATGATGCTAAGCAAAATACGTCAGTCAGAAAGACAAACACCATATGATTTCACTTGTATGTGGAATTTAAGAAACAGATGAACATAGAGGGGGGAAAAGAGGCACACTAAGGAACAGACTCTTAACTATAGAGAACGCAACGATGGTCACTAGAGGGGATGGGGGGGATGAGTGAAATAGGTGATGCAGATGAAGAGTACACTTATCATGGTGAGCACTGAGTAACATAGAGAACTGTTGAATCACTCTATTAGATACCTGAAGTAATATAACACTATTTATTTTAAAAAATTAAAACAAACTCTGAGTTTTATCTATGACCATACACCAACAAAACTGTGAACATTCCAAACTCCTATGAGGTACTGCACTAAGATCTTCAGGGTATCATACAATCCATTAATTTCACAAGCAGATAAAGTCAATAATGCTGAGTGATATGAACTTCTACCATCCTTGGTTTCACTCTGATGGACTTCAATTGAAACACGTTATTTTCCTGGATCCGCACTTCTGATTGGGTCATCCTGGAAAAATATGCCCAATGATGAGATAATATTCTTACTAACACCATAACAAAATGCCCACTTGCATGGATTTGTATGTGTACTGAATATAGACTTCTTGTGTATCCTTTAAAAGCCAGACTACTGGCTAAATAGTATCCTACCTTTACTGGGGCATGTATATTCTAGGTAATATTGACCTTAAGGCCAAAATCAAGTCTAATGTTGTCTGAGAAAGTTTCAGCTAAGAAGACTGCATCACTGCTTGTCAGAGAAATGACAGTTCAGATCTCTTGGTCAGACTCAAATTTTCTTTTGTTTTGAGGTTTCATAAATATTGTCACTAGGCACATCATATCTAGCAGGGCCACGTGTGATGTTCAGAAAACTAATAATGAGACAACTGATAAAACTGTTGATTTGTTTTCTCAATTCAATTTTCTAAATAAGAAAGGACAGTATTCACAAGAAGGTGCTTTCAGAAATTATAAATGATGATCAACTGTTTTCTACATAAATGAATCCAGTGGGTTGGGAGACCGCAGTAGTGTAAAAGTTTGTTGGCTTACATGGAAAGAGGGCCTATTTCTATTTTAAAGACTTCTTTTATTATAGAAAAATTAAGAAATGATCTCCACTTAACAATCTAAAGAAACATCCTGCTTACTCATAAGATGTTCAACATGACTCTAAAGCAAGCCCATATTCAATTCCTTTTAGAAGGAAAATAGCCTCCCAAAGCCTCAGTTCCTCATCAGTAGGGGACTATATAATTTACATACTATGCATAATTTACATACTAGTTGTTTATCCCTACAACTAGAGTGAAAGGGGTGGGCTAACCAGATGGGGCAGTGGACAAGGCGTGTCAACTGGGGTATCCTTCGTAAACATATGGTTACCCCACACATCAAAAGGAAGCTTGTTGGTTCGATCCAGCCACATTTGCCCAATGGCTACATGGTAGCATCACCTTGGAGAACACACATACACACACTCACAACATGTACAAATACAGATGCATGCATGTGTACATGTATATACTTAAATGCCTAAGCCCTTCACTAGACCAATCAAATCTAATTTCTGAAAGTGTACTGAATCTTGGCAACAATCATTTTTAAAAGCTCCCCCGCCCCCAAAAATTAAAAATTAAAATAATAAAAAATAAGCTCCCCCATGGGGCATGCCTGAGGGGCTCAGTTGGTGAAGCAACTGATCATGATCCCAGGGTCCTGGAACTGAACCCCATGTGGGGCTCTCTACTCCACAGGTTGTCTGCTTGTCCCTCTCCCTCTGCTGTTCCCCCTTTGCCTGTGCTCTCTAGCTCTCTTTCTCTGTCAAATAAATAAATAAAATCTTAAAAAAAAAAAAAAAACTCCCCCAAATGATAAAAATATGCAGCAGCATTGAGAACTTGTGAACTAGATGATCTCCGGCTCTTAAAAGTCTGGGATCAGAACTCTGGAGAGCAAATTTACAGCACTTGCTGTTATCAAAGTTTTATAAGAACATGCTACTCTCATTTCTAGAACACAAAATGTTTAATAGCAGTAAGGTAATAACCAACATTTTACTGACAAAGGATTTACAGTTAACAAAACACTTTCTCAACATTTTTTTCTCTCATATTAACCCCACAAGAAAGTCAGATTGGTTATTATTACAGACTTTCTGTGGGTGGGGAAATTCAGACATAAAAGATCAGATATGGGGATGCTTGGGTGGCTCAGAGGTTGAGCGTCTACCTTTGGCTTAGGGCATGATCCCGGGATCCTGGGATTGAGTCCCGCATAGAGCTCTCTGAGTGGAGCCTGCTTCTCCCTCTGCCTATGTCTCTGCCTCTCTCTCTCTCTCTCTCTCTCATGAACAAATAAATAAATCTTAAAAAAAAAAAAAAAAGATCAGATATGTAGTGACAAGTTGTATCACACAACAAGCCTGTGGAATAATCAATCCCAGGTCTTGATTCTGAGGGCAGAAGATGGGAGCCAGTATGAGGGATTCCTATTCCATAGGTCTGAATTCTACTTCTATCATTTGCTAGCTTGATGAGTTGGGACAAGTTATTTAACTCCTCTGTATGTTATCTCTGAAATTAGTATCCTACTGATCTGTTCTTTGAAGTATTGCTGTAAGTACTACATGATATTTTACCCAGCAGGCCTCAGCCTTGTGACCAATAAATTGACGTTTCTTCTCCTCCTCTCACTCACTCCCCTCCTTTTACTACTATAATTACTACTACCACTAGAACTAATAATAATAATCCCTGCTATACGCAGAGTAAACGGCCCTTCAAATAAGCAAGCTTAATTACAATCTTTACCCTCTTCCCACATACTCTGCCAAAACACCAAAATGAAACATCTTCAAGGAAGACAGTCTAGGAAATCAGACACACCCCAGAAGCATACCAATATTGAACTTGGGTCATCTTTGTCAGCAAACAACCAGCAAACAGCAAACAAACAAACAAACAAAAAAAAAAAAAAGAGCAAACAACCCAGACCGCTGACAGGCACTAAGCTGGGTTTAGAAACCTCAGTGACCAGCAGCCTTGAAGACATGTTGCTCCAATCTGCGTTCCAGATAGAACTCAGAGACCTATTGCAAGGAGGGCACAGGGCTGGCCATATCCAAACACAGCACCTCCAGACTTGCTGCTGTGTGGAAAGTGAGGCCTCACTCTTCTTGAGGAAGCTGCCAGCCAAAGGTAGAGGACGGTCATTGGTAGAAGGGTATGGCCATCACTGCCCAGGAGCTGCCACTCTACAGGCAGGCAAGCTTCCCATCAGCCTGTCCTTTCTTGTGTGGCTCTCGCCACTCAATCCTTCCCTAATTTCCCCATCCTTTCACATGTATCCAATGACACTGTGGTCAGACAACTTCCCAGTAAAAAATAAGAGCCCAAAACACCCACATACATTCCAAACAATCGTGTCAAGGCTGGTGGGGTTGTGCCCTACAAGACTGAGAAACAACAGTGTGAAAGATAAATTCTGACAATTGTTTTGTTCCAAAATTCTATTCTTTTATGATTTTCTAAGAGTTTATTATTTGGAAAGTTCTATGAAGTTATGAAATACACTTGACTTGTCTATCTGAGTGCCTACAACATGAAGCTGAAGGGGAAAAAAAAGTGATTATGGATCATGTTCTAGTCATGTCATCTTTGTTTTGCAAATTAAATTTGTTACGCCACATTAGCTCAAAGATATGAACATTTTAATAATTCCAGATCCATAAATTGCAAGAAAAATGAATTAGATTTTAAAATGTATTCAGTTCCATGGCACTGGGTTCCTTGAGGATATATTTTTCATCTAAGACAGAAAAGGTATTCTAAATGACTGCATTTCCATTTTCTCCACTTAATTTCATCCTCATTTTTGTAATTCATGTGTTTCAACATATTTAAGACATTGAAAATAATCAAAACCTTCATGACAGATGGTAAAGTATTAGTTTGATCTAGTAATCTAAATGTTTTTAATATTATCATGGTTAAGAATAATAACAATAGAATAGTTGCTACAAGACGGTATTCTCTGCTCTTTGTAGATATTAACTTGCTTAGCTTCAGAAACATTTAAAACATTTTTTAAAGTTTATTTATTTGAGCAATCTTGCGCCCAACATGGATGGGGCTCAAACTCACAACCCCACCATCAAGGCTTGCATACTCTATGAACCGAGCCACCCATGCACCCCCAGAAACACTTAAAATTTTAAGTATAATCACTATCTTGTATATGTTAACAACCATTTCACAGACTATCTGATCTGGTAAGTTAAATATTTTTAATGTTACTATTTTGCGGTTTAGGATAATGACAATACAATACCTACACAGCTCTTTGAACAAAGAGTATTCTATGCTCCTTACACATATGAACTCATTTAGCCTCATACACATTCTATAATTTGGGTGTAATCATCATCTCTAATCCGTAGATTAGGAATCGAGGAACAGAGAGGTCAAGTAACCTTTCCAAGGTCACACAGTTTTAAGTGGTAGAGCCTGGATTTGAACCAGGCAGTCTGCATGAACCAGAAAAATCAAACACTGACTTATTTTAAGCCATGTCAATTAAACTTCTAGTCTCTGTGTGTGTATAGGTAAATGTATAAATGCAGATGCAAACTGAATAATTTTAAATCGAGTGAATTTGACTTAAACAAATGTATCCCAATTTTAAAATCCAAACACATATGGTCCTTGTCAAAGTACTCACCCCGAGTATCTGACGCATGTTCAGTGTGCCTTGGCAGTGTGGACTCTCTTATTCAGATTACGGAGGCACCCCTGGAATTGAGATAACAAATTAGCAAGCTATCCAAGGAAACTCGTCCCCACGCTCAGACCTATCTGGGGTTAGACCTGAACAAGGATTTTTCATGTGCAACAATCATTTTGTCAGACCTTTTGCAGTCAATTATCAGTAAGCGTTCATGGAGTACCTACTGCATGCCATTCCCTCTGCTAAATCCTGGGGTGTTTAAAAGGTCACTACCAATCCACTGATGTAGCAGGATTTCTTGGCCCTCACCATAGGTTTGACTATGAAACATTCCAATTAATGCTCTTTCTTTTTTTATATATCAATCATATATTTTTATGAAAAGTGTGTTTTCTCAAAAAATGTGATGAGAAGTGTGACATTTCACAAAAATCTTTAATGTCTGGGGTAACAGAAGACAAGCAGATTTCATGTTTGCTTCTTCATTTAATCTCTTGTGACACTGCTTTCTTTGTCAATACCCCCCTCACACCCTGGGATTCCACTGGCCAGTATTGAGTGTAGAAGTCATGTTGCTTTTAGGTGCAACTTGACTCCAGGGACTGGGTAGGAGCCTGGAATCTCCCTATGCCATCTTCCATTCAAGGTGTGAGCTCTTGTGTCACAAAAGCTGGGTGTCATCTCTCTCTTTCATTAGACCGTGGTCTACCTATCTCACTCATCCATAGGAACTATAAAAATGCGAACATATACAGCACTCAATCAATACTGCTGAATAGTCACAAAAATAAAGTCCTCGATTACGGAGACGATTCATAACCTCTAAGGCAACCATGTTGACCAAAACACTTCTTTGAAAATATAAGCTCTAATAGATGTGTTTTAAAAAACCCACTATATTAACATTATAGACATTTTTTGTCTTCATGTATTTAAATTTCTAGCACTTGAGGCCCATGGTGTGAAAGAATTTAAAAATTCATTAAGACCTAAGTTCAAACAGCTTGGTTATTAAACTTGGTGAGGAGATGTCATTTAGGTGGTAAACAAGCCTCATAGTTAATTAAACATCAATACCGAACATAATCTTTGCTCTGTTCTCCTTCACACATGGGCAACATTGAGTGCTAAAATGGTATTCACCAGAGATGCTGGGAGGGGGGGCTCAGTTGGGTTTGGCTCAGGTCGTGATCTCAGGGTCATGAAACAGAGCTTCCACATTCAGTTCCACATTCAGTGGAGTCTGCTTGAAATTCTTTCTCTTTCCTTTCCCCCCTCCTTCTGCTCCTCCCCCAACTCACAGTTGCATGCACTCTCTCTCTCAAGTAAATAAATAAAATCTAAATAAATAAAATGATATACACCAGTCTGAGTTATGGACATGTCTAGAAGCCACATATGCAAAAAAGAGTCTTATGTATATTTACTAGTAGTAGCTCATTCACCATAAAATTAATGATTGTCAGTTATTTGGTTATCTCACATTCATGGCCTTTTATATAATTTTTTATGTAATGTTTTATATTAAAATTTGAGATATATATCTTCAGAAAGTAAATTATATACATTTACCTACATGGGTGTGTGATACATACATCACACATATTAATTTTCTAAGCATAGTCAATATTTTCTCTAAATCTGTATTTGTATTCTCTAAATTTTCTATAATGAGTATGTGCTTCCTTGAAAACAAGAATAGTTTACTTCTTTTTTAAAAGATATTTATTTATTTATTTGAGAAAGAGAGAGAGCACGAGCACAAGCAGGGGAAGGGGCAGAGAGAGGGAGAGGGAGAAGCAGACTGCCTGCTGAGCTGGGATCCAGACATGAGGCTCCTCACTGACCATGGAGCCCAGTGAAGGTCTCAGTCCCAGGACCCTGAAATCTCAACCTGAGCTGAAATTAAGAGTCAGATGCAAAAAAAATAAAAAATAAAAAATAAAAGAGTCAGATGCTTAACCAATTGAGCCACCCAGGTACCCATCTTATGCTTATTTTTTAAATTAAACTTTCTTCACTAAAAAAAAGGGGGGGCGGGGGGCAGCCCGGGTGGCTCAGCAGTTTATTTTATTGTTTTTTATTTATTTATTGGCACAGAGAGAGGGGCAGAGACACAGACAGAGGGAGAAGCAGGCTCTATGCAGGGAGCCCGACGTAGGACTCGATCCCGGGTCTCCAGGATCACACCCAGGGCTGCAGGTGGCGCCAAACTGGGGCGCCACCGGGGCTGCCCTAGCTCAGCAGTTTAGCACTGCCTTCAGCCCAGGGCCTGATCCTGGAGACCCCGGGGTCAAGTCCCATGTCAGGCTCCCTGCATGGAGCCTGCTTCTCCTTCTGCCTCTCTCTCTGTGTCTCTCATGAATAATAATAAAAAAAATAAAAGTACATAAACTGGATGTAATAAATAAATGGCTAGCTGGCACCTCAGTGAACACTTTAAATAACAATAAACATTAAAAACAGTGTAAGGGCACCTGAGCGGCTCAGTCATTAAGTATCTGCCTTCAGCTCAGGTGATGATCTCAGGGTCCTGGGAGTTCCACGCTGGGCTCCTTGCTTCTCCTTCTTCCTTTGCCCCTCCCCTGGTTCATGTGCACTCTCACTTTGCCCTCTAATAAATAAATAAAACAGTCTAAACAGGTAACTCTCTAACCATCTGACTTTTATTCAGGACAGAATCTAGTTCATCTACATCTGAAACCAGTAAATCCTCTGCAGAGTACAGGTGAGGAAAGCAGGAGAGGACGAGGACAAAAAGAACCACTATGAATCTAACTTATCTGTTTTCCAGCATTTATGTATTTAATCTTATATCAAGATTTCAGGAACACCTGGATGGCTCAGTGGTTGAGCATCTGCCTTGGCCTCAGGGTGTGATCCCGGGGTCTGGGGATTGAGTCCCATATTGGGCTCCCTGCGAGGAACCTGCTTCTCCCTCTGCCTATGTCTCTGTCTCTCTCTCTCATGAATAAATAAATTAAATTTAAAAAACACAATTATATTGAGATTTCAGTCATGACAATGGTAAGCAACAAAAGCAGCCCTTTTGACGCAGCAAACAGATGGTAAAAAATGATATGAACAGTTCCTGACTCCTCGTGGAGGTGATGAGGGGCACGGTACAATACAGGCAAGGGAGACTCAGCCGTTTCCAGCGGCACTGAGGCCAGGTGCAATTGAGACCTCCTAGGAGCTGTGGCTTCTCCCTGGCATTTCCAACCTTCTATGGTAAGTAATGTCTTCTTCAATCGGCCAGCAGGGGCAGCCTGGAAATAGGTACAGAAAACAAAACATATCTTGAAGATTCCAGGAAGCCTATTTTCCCACGCAGGTCGGATCCATCTGGCATCAATTTTTGTGGGATTACGCACATCATCTGGGAGGATACACAGCCACTCTTCTGAAAGTCACGCACTCACTGAGGGCAAACATTTCTGAGAATCCGCTGTGCTTAATTGCTACTATCATTGTAATTGAGTTACTTGAACAAAATCAAGAATCAGAAGTTTCCTCAACTTTTTGACAACAGCCAACAAACAACCATGGAGAAATAGAAACTATACGATAGCAGTAACAGTCTTTCAACAGAGTATATACTAAAACCAGCCTTTCCAGGGTCACTGGCTGGCACACAGCGACTGGAGCAAGTGACTCTTTGTCTCAGGGTTGTGACATTGAGCCCCTCATTGGGTACAGAAATTACTTAAAAAATAAGATCTTAAAAAACAACAAGCCAGCCTTTATTTATAGGCCCCAGCTATGCTAGAAGTATTTCTTTCCTTTGCTTCCTATTGTCCAGATCATGTGGTAAGGGTGTTTTGGAATGTCTGTAAGGCCACTTTCTTTATATCGTTCTGAGTTTTTATTGTGGAGACTGAGATAAGGAATAAATGATCAGGAAAGACTCTGGCATGTAGCCGGGCTCAAGTAACTGTTACTTGGTTATTATTAATTATTACGTTTTTATGCAGGACACTTAATCAAGTCTAAAGGACACAACAGAAACTTGGGGAGTGCTGGTCCAACTCATGAGCTTCCAGGCTTTGGCGCTCACCCCTCATCAGGGAGCAATGGTCGGACCAAAGATAGAGCCACATACACAATTATATATTTTCTCCACCAGAAAACCAGCTATTCTTTTGTGCCATTTCACTGAACTGAGGTTACGTAAACTTCTGAACTGACAGGCTCCTGTGTCTGGTCCCACACAGCTTGAGAAGCAGAGAAAGTCGGATCTCCTGAGAGAAAGGGAAATGAGCATGCCAGATGAGACTCCACATGAGCCTAGAAATCCAAAGCAGAAGCATCGTTTCTGAAGGCTTTCCACTTCCTAGTACCAATCCTCAAGGCTTCCATCTTTTCCTGGGTTCTACAATCTAACAATATTTTTTTTTCTCTCCATATATGGTGACTTCTGCTTTTTCTCTTAGCAACCAATGGAATCAAAGTAATCTCTACACCCAATGTGGGGCTTGAATTATAACCTCGAGATTAAGAGTTACACGCTTTACCAGTTGAGCTAGCCAGATGCCCGTCTTCCAGCTTGTGTTTTATAAGTGAAGTCCAATGGGACACTATACAGGCGAATAAGCAGAATGGAAATATGATTCTCCTTATCATCCTCTTCACATAGAGAATCTGCGATGCCTCGTGAGTGCAGAATTACAGTAGCCTCACCAAACATGGGAGATCAGTGAGTTTTGAAGCAAGTACAAGCTAGGCATGTTGCATCTAGGACTGAGTCAGCATGGGTGCAGCCAGCCTCAAGAAGACACGTTATCCCATCCCAACCAGAACTTTCTTCACCAACAGAAAGAAGGAACCAGTGTCCTAGGAAGCACAAATGACCAATATCAAACTCTATTATGTTCATTTTTCCTCAAGTCACTTTCCTGCATTGGCCCACCACCAAAAGTGACGAAAGAGAAGGAAAGCACAGGACAGAATCACTCAGCCCCTTTTTCTTTAAGCTCTTCCACATTCATCAGGTAGAGAGTGTTGGTGGAATGTGTGCAGATCAAGGCATGAAATAAAGAGAATGTGATTACTTTGCAGAGCATCC